TGAATATTGTTTTCTTGCTTTAAAAGTTTCGGATATTAAAGATTCTACAAATTGATCTACTCCTTAATATATCTCATATTATTATAGAAGATTATAAAAAACCTGAATGCTGTTAGAAATTTGATAGAGTATATATATGGAAATTTGGAAAAATTTTTCTTTTTGTTTCTTACACCTAGCCTAGTAAATAGATAAAATTTTGTAAAAGAGCTTTTCAATGCAAATGAAATGAAAATTAGTTCAATAAAAATAAAATTTTAAAAGCATAATGGTTATGTTCAGATTTATCTTTTAAGAAAAAATTTCACCATATGTGAACCAATAAAAAAAGATAATGTGAATGCCACAAATTAATCAGAATTTAATTTTAATTATAAGTTGGGATATTTTTATTTGAAATATATTATGAGATTGCAATTTTATTTTTATTAAATCTAACAAACATTTACTGAAATTATAGTAAGGTTTGGATTCATTATATTCAGATTTTTTTTTTCGTTTTGTCATTGTGATATTTGAATATTATAATTTCCAAATATAATACCTGAATGAATCACTTTGACTTTCGAATATTTCGTTTTTTTTTTTACTTTAAAGAAAAACTGTTTCAAAAGTTATTGCAAGGAAGTTTTTTTTTGTAGAGGGAAATTTAACCTTTATCTCAAATATTATGGTGATATAAACTTATTAATATTGCTAATTCAACTGAAATCCTTCAAGACTGAGAAATCGAAAATCCCAATTAAAAAATTCTAAACCTTTATCTTACAGAATTCAGCTTTAATTTTCTGATCAAAATTTCGAACTTTCAAAATAAAATTCTTTAAAATTCAAAGATTTCTGGTGATTTGAAGTGTTTGCAAAAAGTTTGTTTTAAACAAAAATACTTTGCATATAGTTTTCTCTTTTTTTTTTGAACAAAAGCTTTAATTTGCGTTGGCTTTTTTATGCTTTATTAGAAATAGAATCAAACTTTTGTTCAATGAGAGTTATCAAAAATTTCTGGAAATTTTGTTGCTTTAGACTGCGACTTTTTGAGATGAGCATTATTAAAATGATCTGAAAATAGCAAATTATTTAATCAGAAATTTTACAGAAATCTTAAAAATGATATAGTTGAAGAAGGTTGGTTAGAGAAGAGAAAAAATAGGAACAGTGAATGGAATATATTCCAGTTATTGAACGGTTATTAGCGCAGTCGCAGATATTAGCTATCTCTTGCCTGACAGAAAAAATTATAATCCTTTTGAAAAATATCGGCATATGATTGACAGATTCAATGGAATTAAATTCCCTCAATCACACATCGATATCTTTTGCAGCATCTTTTTTTTTGCTAATTGATTTCAATTTCATTTAATAACTGTGTATTTCATACATTTCGCTTCATTTATATTCGATATTTCAGTCTCCTAAAATTTATATGTCTTTATTTGCGTTATTTACTGAGATATTGAAGTAACATTTACTCATTCACATAAGACGGAAGTATTGAGCCATTAGGTAAGACTGTGAGATATTTAGATAAGTTTGCCATGTTTATATTTGTGCTATTTAACAATCGGGTGTCGAAATATTTTTACATATGAAATAAATCAGTGGCATTTGTGCTAATTAAAAAAAATTCGTTAGCCAATGTTGGAGTATTTTTCGAATGTAATGAGAAATGAATAGATACAGAGTTTGACATATTTTAAATTTAACAAGTATATTGTTCGGTTTTTATGTTCTTTGGCTCAATCCTAAAACCTAAAGCCTAGTCTTCTGCACCACCGAACATTTTCATTTGTAAGAGAGAAAAAAATGTTCAATTCAGTTTTTGTTTTATAGCAGTCTTTTCCATTTCCAATCCCAAATAATGGACTTCTAATTCTTTGGCTTTGCATGAAGTAAAGTAAATATTTTCAGTTATTTATCGCAATGTGAAAAAATGTGCCCAAAATAGGAAAAATAAATTTGAATGGATAATGATTAATGGAATTTTATGAATGTAACTCTTTAACTTTTTTGTTTTCATTAAGATTAAAATAGAGCCAAATGATTCATTTCCCTTTAAGTTATCAGTGGATAAGGTGTTATGAGCGAGAGGAACAAGATATGATAGCTATCAAAATATTTCATTTTTTTTACTTTCACAATCATAAACAATTATCATTTACCAACCGAAGGTTTAACCTTTCGTGTTCGCTTACGTGTGTCACAAAAACGTGAAACTTATACATACATTCATATATTAAAGTATCTTTTACATTTAACTTACTAAAGCATATTTTTTACTTTTGCAAAAATTTTCGCATTCTTCAAATTGATTTGGTCTTTTATTAGATTAGTTTTATAATCGAATTAATTTAGTGAAAAAAGCAAAAAAAAAGTTTGTGTAACTTTACTTTTAATCAATGGCTTGATTCCATGCATCTGTTCACGACTCTGATATTGAACAAAACATAATTTGCATATTTCCTTTTTTTGATAGAGAAAATAGATGGGGAAAAGAAAAGGTCCATAAATTACTAACTCTAAAATATTTCATTCCATTTTAGAGAGTATTACTGACGCGGACTGTATTTTCTCAATAGATCTGATTGCATTTTCTCGAAATTTCACAAAAACAACCAATTCAATCTTTTTTCAATTACGAATTCCAGCACAAAATTATCGAAAACATTTTTTTTCTTTCCGACAAACAATGTATTATTTCAATTTTTTTTCCTCTGAAAGGAAAATGGGAATTATGTTCATGGAAGAATTCCAATAATTCAAAGTTGAAAAGCAAGAAAAGCACTTTGTCGGCTAAAACTGCGGTTTTTCATCCAGATGAATGCGAGACAAGAATTGCTTTATGTTTTTCTATCCGAAATCTCAGGATCCTCTCTCATCGCTCGATTTTCCCTGCTTATATTTCATATCGCTTAACACTTTTACTCCCTTTCTCGAGGTCGATCGGATATTTGGCGCTGATTTACAACGCTAATAAACAATTCATTTTCACATGTCAAAGCAAACCATTTCAATCAATTCAAAAAATATCTTAATTGATTTTTAAAAATTATCACTGTTAATTTGATTTAATTTATCCGAATTTTATGGTCTAAATAAGTGCAAATTATCAAAAAACATGCAAAAATAAATTTTCAACGTTTTTGAACTAAAATATACGTTTTAATGAACTTCGTTTTATGAAGTGTGTGCATAAAGAAATCTCTGAGGAATTTCAGCTAGAAAAATATTTGAAAAAATGATGAAGGACTAAACCAAAATGACAATACTGCTTCTCAATGGGCCATAAATGCTTACATTAGTTAACTTACTAATAAGCATCAATGAAGCTCAGAAACTTATTCAGCCTTTCACAAAAATTTTTCCTTCTCCTAACTTTTTTTTTCCAAGTGGCTTTCCATGAATTGAAGTTTATTTATTTTTTCATCGAGTTTTTTCGAAAATCTCTCTTATTCTTTTCTTTTCCTTTTTTTATTTCTCAATTTGACTATTAATTTTGTTTTGAGTTAATTAAAACGAACTGATTAGAATTATCAAATACTTGACCGGTTCGAAGCGCTGATAACTATTTATGAAGCTTACGTATATTACGTATAATTTCACTGTTGCTGAAAAATGGTTTTATTGCTAATCGATGCTCTTATCTATATCGACTTATTGATCACAAGGTAAATATTATTAATAATTGAATTTCTTACTCTGAAATTCTCTTTTGTAGTGTTTCCTTTGAAGTAAATTTGTTTGACAAATTGAATGATAGAGTTTATCTTAGGTAAACATCTCAAAGTATTCGTACCTGAAAAATTGGATTTTTTTTTGCTTGTCGATTTTTTCACTTGTTAAATATATCAATGGTTAATTTAATATAAGAATATAAAAACGATTAATTCAATTCCCATTTTATCAATTTAAAATAATTAATTACAGATTCTGTTAGCATTCATGAGCACGCAAATCAGAAGTTAATAGTTTGGTATATCAATCCTTTTTTTAATGTTAATAATTATATTCCATAAGCTTCTGAGAAAAAAATAAATTTCAGATAAGTTTTAAATTTTTATAATTTTGATATTAATTAATGGATTTATAATGCTGTCGTTTTAGTGATATGTTCCTGACGAATAAACTAAAATTGATATGAATATTTTAAGTTATCTGCGAGTTGCTCACAAATCACTAATAATTGTTGTATTGTTTCCACATATCATCACGACATTTAACAAATCGTATACTGTAAGTCCTCATCATGACATTTTGATAATTTCATTGATTAATTTGACAATGCCATCTAGGGAGGACTATAAAGAAAATTTCTCAAATATATTTATTAGACGACATTTGTGCATTTAATCTTAGCCAATTAATCTTTTGTAGGAAATCATATTTCTGCATGAGTGCTTAAAAATTTCTAATATCAATTTCTGTGATATTTTAATTTTGTATAATAACCCATAAAGATTCTTTTCAAATAGTGACTTAATAATTAAATTAACTAAAATTTGATTTGTTATAAGCAGCATGATGCATGATAAAATTTGGGCAATAATAATGATAATGCATACGTCACAACCACTAAAGCTACTTATGAAATTTTAGAAATTGATACCGAAATTGGTGACAAAAATTGAATATGATAGAACACACCATCGGTTAGTTTGATTTATATATTTTGGAAATATAAATTTATAGCTTTCAAAAATTTACGTATATTTTCTATTAGCTCATCTTATCATCATAAACTCTTCGCCATACATTCCAAATTATATTATTTCCATTTCCTCTCTTAAAATCTCGTAAATTTAATCCCCGCTGCATTGCAGTATCGCTAGCAAACTATTTTACATGCTTTTTAGTGCTTTAAAATTGAAAAAATTTCTTTAAATACTAATTCTCAAAAAGTCTAATTTTTGAACTTTTGCTAGAAGATGTAAAAAAATTTTGTTTTTTCAAGAAATTCAGCTGTTTCAAATAAACAAAATCAACAGCTAGAACGCTACTTGGAAATGAATGTTAGCCATTTGCTCGATCAGGTGATTGCAAGTCACGATCGCAGAATTAGACCAAACTACGGTCGTTAGTTTTACTATTTCTATATCATAAATAAAAAAATGTATAAATAAAAAAATTCATTAAATACTCACCTTTTTATTAATGTATATTTTGAATAAAGACGATTTTAATTTGTGAAAACTGATATTTTACGGCACATATTTAACCTGTACAATTACATTTTCAATATCAATAAATATCGGGGAAGAATTGAATTTCTCTGATAGAATCAATCTTCCGATCGATATATTAAAATATGGAAAAACTCACTGATTTTTACAAATCTCATTGACTGAAATGTTCGCATCAATTAACGTGTCGCACATTAAAAGAAAGTTGAAATTCTAATGAATCAGTTCACGGATACATTTTACCGCATTGTATACTTCAAAAACATTTGACGAATTTTTTAATAAATTTAACATTTTGAAAAGTAATCAACCTATTTTTTTTCTTTTGCATTATATTCTCTTAAATGATCAGTTCATATTCAGAGCAAATCAAATTAATTTTGAGGGGCACCAATTGAAGTGAACGTTACCATTCATGTCACTACAATAACTGCTATCTCAGAAGTTTCCATGGTACCATTATTTGAGTTTATTAAATTCATTATAAATATTTCATAATTATCCTAACATTTTTTTATTGCCTCATTAAATTTCTCTTCTTTTTAACAATTTATATTTTTGAAAAAAAAATATTATTTATAGTGTTATTCTTATTGTGAAATAATGAATTCAAATCATAAATGAAGAGCAAATTCTAATTGATTAATTACATTTACAACAATGATTAAGAAAATTAAAAAATTTTTTACGGATTTTTTTTGGTTCTTTCTATTTTTTTGGTGTTTTCCTGACTTTTCTTGATTTGTATTTATTTCGGGTGGGGTCTTTTGACCCTGATTATGCTAACCCTTCTAGCAAGTTTTTGTTTTTCTTTCCTGTTGTTTTTGCTTTTCGATGATTTGTTAATTTTTTTCTTTTTTCATGATTTTTAATTGGATTGAGTTCTTGGCTGTTTATTCTTATTTTTCGCTTTTTTTAAAATTTTTCTCTTTTTATTTTTGATTATATTTTAAATCCTTACGAAATGTTAACGCTATTGTATACTTGAAAAGTTGATATTATCACTGATAACTGCCGGAAAAAATTTCATTTCCAATGATTAGGTTAATTTACAGGATTACACTGTTGCATTGTACTTACGTCAGTTCTGGCATGATAATCGCTTGGCATTTGAAAGTGCTGATGAGAGAGAATTAACAATCGGAATTGATTTAATAAAGAGTATTTGGGTTCCGGATACATTTTTCCCTAATGAAAAGAAATCATTCTTTCATGAAGCGACAACGCATAACTCTTTCCTGCGTATCGATAATCGCGGAAATGTATTTCTTAGCATCAGGTAGGAAAAATTTTTGTCTTTTTTTTAAAGGTGTCTTTTCAATCATTGTACTAATAACCATCAGAAATTTTGACATTGAATTTGCGATAGAATCGAAGGAGAAACAAAGTGAAAATATCGAAATAATTGTCTAAAAAATAAAGACATTTCATATCAAGCAAAATGACAAAATCATTTCATATCAAGCAAAATGACAAAATGATTGCTAAAAATTTAACAAGTTAAAATAATTATTTATTGAAATGTAATATTTTCCAATTGCAGGCTTACAATAACAGCTAATTGTCCAATGAATTTGCACAGTGTATGTTTAAATTTCATTTAAATATAAATGAAATGAAAAATGATAAGTGATAGAAAAGTAGAAGAAATGTTTAAAAATTTTAATTCTCTGGTATGTATTGTAATCAAATAAAACTTTCAAATTTTTATAATTTCACTTTTTTTTTTTGCTTCAGTGCTTCTAAAAATTAAAAAAATAGTGGCTTTTTGTTTTTAGTTTCCATTGGATGTTCAAGTTTGTTCTCTCGAACTTGAGGTACATTCCTAATTATCAACCTTTCTCAAATCATTTATCAGCAGTTTCGACAAATGAAAAATGATATGCATTTCATATCTTTCTGCGTGTAACATTTCATAATTCAAAAGTTCTATCTGTCACCTTTTTTTGATTAACAATGATAAGGAAGGACTCTATATAAATTTCATACTCTAAAATGAGTTCTAATCTTATGTTTTTTTAAATTAAAATACAATTTTTAATTAAAATATAATCTTCGTGTATAATTTGTTTGACTTTTCTTTTTTTTTATTTCAAATTAAAAAAAAAACGAAAGCGGCAAATTGGCTCAGATCTCGTTTTTCATAAAAATTTGAGGTGTACCATCTGTTTCCAATTTCTTTTAGACTTCGAAACTAATGGGCATAATTTCATTAATCGTTTTCTTTAAATCTTCACAAAATTTTCATGCTATTTGCTAAATTTCTTCAAAATTCAATTTTTCAAAAAAGTTTTTGATTCTAATTTCAAAGATTGGAAGCAATGAAATTCGTTTCCTAATTTTAAAAGATGGAAGCAACAAAATGAATAAACATTAACTTTAAGCAGGAAATTTGATTAAACAAATTTTTGAAATGATCTTTTACGAGAAACTGATACAAATAAGGCTTGAAGTGTCAAATATCCAATAAAGTTATTTTAATTTTGTCCTATGCCAATGCATAGGCCTTCCTAAACAATTCCTCATTTCTGGCAGATTTCGTTTACTCATTTTTTATCTTTGTTTACTTTTATACGTTTATCACTTGTAGAGTTATGCGTATAGCACTCGCGACATCATTTATCACTGGCATTTGGGTGAAAGTTCAGTTACAATCGATGAGAATGTTCATTTGACTCATTTTACGATTAGCAGTCATAGACATGTTGAACGGGTCATTTCCCTTAGTACCGGTTAGTTTGTTTCACTCTTTTAAGATTATACTTTCAATGGTTTTTACATAATTGATCATTCATTCATATTTGAACTGAGTTTTTCAAAAAAAACCATATTTGAACTGAAATTCGAGAATACTGTCCTTATTAACTAGTTTCGCTTGCAAAGAAAGGTATTTCGAAATAGTAAATAAATTTAGTTCAGTTAATTATTTGAAAAGTTTATCCGGTGTACATACTTTGGTGACAAAAAATATAATATAGCTTTTTCTTTTATTTTTCCAGTAAATAAATATTTTTATATTTTTAGGTAACTATTCACGGCTTTCTACCTATTTCACATTTAAACGGAATATTGGTTTCTATCTGATACAAATATATTTTCCCTCTTCTTTAATTGTCGTCATATCATGGATATCATTTTGGCTCAATCGTGATGCCACCCAAGCTCGAGTTGGGATAGGTAATCATTCCGTCATTTAATTTTAACATAGATGCTGTTCGTCTATGAGGAATTCATAAATGTGTGAAAACTGAAAGAAATTCTCCGCATTTCAAAAGTTCAGAATTAACGTTATTGATTTGTTTAATAAGTTTAATTGATTAGAAGTAAATCATCAGTCTACAATTTACATTTAACTGCTAAACATTAATCAATACTGCTAAATCAAAGCAATTTTCAAAACGTTTTAGTCTTATTCGAGAAATTTTGCAGGTGTTACAACGGTGTTAACAATGACGACACTGATGACCTCAACAAATGCCTCATTACCAAAAGTATCACATAATCATTAGAGAAATGTTTAAAACTACAGCTGTCATTCTCCTTTAAGCAATGCTTTTAATTTAAGATTAAACTTGTTCCCAGTATTAGAGAGATCTCGTGGGTTTTTTGGGTCATTCTTTCAAGAATTAAATAAACGAGTATATCATTTCAGGTATCGTACGTTAAAAGTCTTGATATTTTTCTTCAAACTTGTTATTTCATTGGTAAGTTTGCACAGTAATGTCACATTTCATGAATTTGAAGTTTTGAAACATTTCAATTTATTTATTTTTGACTTTTTTTCTTCGACTATTATTTATGTAATTTTTTCGCTTATTTTATATTTTCTTTAATTACTGAGATATCAGAACTCAATAAACAAATGAGTATTTATGTTCTTTTGAAAAATAGTAATAACATAACTTTTTGCAGTTTTTGCATCACTTCTCGAATATGCAACAATTGGTTACCTAATGAAACGATATCGAAACTCTTTGATGGATAATACAGCCACTGCAACAGCTTGTTTTTATAAATTAGCTAAAAATTCACCAATAATACAAAGGAATCGAATAGTGGGACGCAGAAGTTACACTTTCAGAACTGAGGTTGCTAATAGTTGACAGAGTAATTTTAAAAATGTAACTATTCAGCTTGCACCAAAGTTCAGGAAAAAGTGTTCTTTTTTTAGAATGAATTCATGAATATTTCAAAAGTTGTTCTACAAATCTGAATAATATTGGTAAACTTTATAGAAAAAATTTTTTTCTCTTTTTTATAGTCTGAAACTGATTTCGAGATACCGTTATTGGAACAGAGATCAGAAAATCGGTTCAGCTTAAGGCGAGCTACGATTAAAGCATTTGCCAGCGAATATTTAAACAGTTGTTTAAGGATACGACCATCACAGGTTTATAATTTGATGGAATAGTTCGAGACAAGAAATGCACATAAGCTCGATTATGGGAGAATAAACAGGGCAAGGTCGAATCAGGAATGTATTATGAATGATAATTTTATGTAGATGAATAGAATGAAAATTGTACAACAATTGCGCTCTGAAAATAATTCAGGAAATGACCATTTTTTAATCAGTTTCCATATCTGGAAAGAATTATGATTCAGATTTCAGATCGATCTTATATCGCGAATTCTATTTCCGACATTTTTCATTGCTTTCCATATTGTTTATTGGACCGTTTATTTGTATTTTTGATATTATATATTTCATAGAATGTGATTAATTCATCGAAATCGTTTGATAAAATGTTAGCAACCGATTTTTCATTACTTTGTCAATTGAATGACCAAATAATGTTAAGCAGAGGTCAGAGTACAAATAATACAACAATGACATGCTTAACATATATAAGCTTAACTCATCATCAACGACACCGACTTAAAAACTTTCTAATTTACACCGGTCATCTTTACCTATCTATGCATGTTATTTTGACATTATTAGCGTTACAACGGATTTCTTCCCGCCTATCTCTCCCCTCTCTCTTTTATTCTATCAACAAGGAAATGGACTATCGCCTACCGTTACCCATTTGGCATGACAAGTAAAAATTTTCAGATGTAAACATTTGTAAACAGATAAAAAATTAAATTTTAACTAAATTTCACTTTATCAATATACTTAAGTATTTCTTATTTTTTCTCATTGTAGTGTAAATTTTTACCATACCATATCAAAGATCGCTATCGTAATATAATTCATTTATTGAAAATGACCAAAGTGTTCCGATGATTATGAAGTTTTCGAATGTGGCTAGGAAGCATTTATAATAAAATTCAATTGCATTCCGATTTAAAATATTTCCCTACGAAAAATGTATGTACAGAAAATACGCTATCTTGAAAACAGCGAATCTTCACCATTCCTAAATAATTTAATGTAAATTGCACATGAACCAAAGTAGAAGAGAAGTAGAAATTGTCGCAAGGAAAAAAACCTGAAATTATCTTATAATACAAAAGTTAAATTTCCTATGAAAGTATTTATAGAAGTATGTATCCTAAGTATATAATAAAAAATTGTCAGTTAAAAGATTTGTGGCTATGTTTACGTAAAATCTTACTTATTTATTTGAGATTGTAACTTTTACAATTAGTTATATGATTATTACCACTTTTGTGACTTACTATTGCAACTTTATCAGTCATTACACGACTAATAATCATTTTTGTTATTATTGTTTCCTTTAATTTTTGAGTTTCCTCCCACAACTCCCCACTTCTCAATTCTCACTTTAATCTCATTTCAGTCTTACTTTATTCCGATCCTTTTCCAAACTTCAACTTCTAACTTTTCATTGTTCATCAATGAAAATATCTATAAGTGATTGACTCAACAAATGATATTTTCTGATAATTGTATTAAATCAAGAATAATTAAAATTTTCCATCAAGCAAAATAATCATTCACTGCTATTCGACTGTGTGTCCTAAAATAAAAATTCATAACAATAATTCTTTATACGATTTAAGTGAATTTTTCAAATAAATCGATGTTATAAGCTGTTCCAGTTATAAATTATCAAATTTTTCTGCATTCAATAATGCATAATTAAATTATCTGGATAATAAATTTATTGAAATTAAATATCAGTTTAAAATATTTTGAAATTCGTTACTTTATCGATTTATAGATTAATTTTGATTAACCCAATTTTCACATTTCTATAATAATAAGAAGGTTGGATAGGAAACTGAAATTAGCTTTATTAGTTCTTCTATGAAGTTTCATTATTTCTATAGATTCTGTGACAGATTTTCAACAAATTCCGATGTCCATCAAACTGGTGTAATACTACAATTATTGAAGAGAATCTGTTGAGGAAGTCGTTAGCATTTGAAAATTATTGCCATTCCTTGTTTGTTACTTTTTTTGAAGATATAATTTAATCTTGTAAATTCGCCGAAATGGATTCCCGAATTTCTACATCTCCGAGGAATTTATTTTTAAAAAGAAATTCGAATTTTTCTGAAAAAATACGTTCTCAAGTCCTTTTCTTGGATGATTTACTGTTTCATATAAATCTTTTTTCTAGAAGTTTATTTTTGTTCATAACTTTTGTCTAAAATTTAAAAACTAAATTTTGCAAAATAATGCGAAATTTAATTGAATAATGAAGCACACTTCAAGCATGGCCGATTATTTCTTATCAATATTACAGGTTAAATGCTTTAATTGAATTCTGTCTCCTCTTATCACTTATCAGTTGATAAGAGCATCATTAGCTTCAAACCTAAAGTCTCAACCCACATAGGCTGACCCTTTTATTGCAATGCAATTGGATGTACCGTTAAATCTCAACAGCCGTGTGGAAATGATTCCCTTCCCTTTTTCATTTCTCGGTGTTACTTTTTTGCGTTTTTTGTTTGTCTGTTTTGAACGACTCTTTAAATTTTTATTTGCAGACGTTGTTGTGTGTGTGTGTGTGATTTTATGCATGTTACAACACTTCATCTTCGGTTTAAATTTAAGTTTAAATTTAGATCGTTAAAAAATGTTACGGCAGCAACAGTGTCTCTCATCGCATCAACATCTTTACAAAACGAAAAGTGTAGATTGGAAGAGTGAATTACGAAAGGTTTGAAAGTAATATTTGTGTCTCAGTTAATAAATTACATGTGACAATTTCGTGCTGATTTAAAAGGCGACAGGAATTATCATCTTTAATCGTCCTGAGAAAGCTATCATTTTCGAATTTTTGATTGTGATAATACCATAATTACTATCATATTATTGCTATTATCACATACATTTGCACTTATTAACTGTTAGAATTGTTTTCACTTATAATTTCACGTGCTTATAGGTTTTTTAGGACTTTATTCGACGATTGCGAGATGAACGACAGAAAGTTTTTAACCGTACACGAAATGGATTTGAGCGCTGTGAGGATGATTTGCTCATTGAAAGCATAATACGGAATGAAATTGATGCTTTGAGGTTATCAGAGCACATCACAGATAATGAACTAAGTGAAGCTATTGAAGAATTCGAACGATTTCGAGATGAAATTAACCAGCAAGGTTTTTTCCGTATCTCATGATTCAGTCTTTTCAAAAGTCCATTTTCAAAAATTAATTTCATTATTGTCCCTTTTTAAAATATTGCTTTTATGAAGATACATTTATTATCGTACTAAAATTTCGAAATTTTATACATTTAAATAATAGTTTTCAGAAATAGAAAGCATGATTGCGTATGAACAAGAACGACTGGAAGATTTGGCAAGTGGATACAATTCGGTTTTATGTCCAAGATGCCAGGTATATTTGTTTTTTCTTATTTGTGAAATAGGCTATTGTTACTTATTCATGAGCTTTTCCAGAATTCCAAAGAACATTACGTCGTGTTATAATTGTGAAAGTAAATATTTTCTCAAAATAAATGTGTTTATAAAAATTCCTCCACTGCGCTGAGTTATCGTCTTCGATTTGATTTAAATTTGAGTGTAGCATTAAAATTCTTATATTTCAGTTTTCCAATTTGAATTTTCCTGACGAATATTCACTGAGATGTGAACATTGTGAACTACAGCTGCGCCTGGCGCAACCGTTACCATGTCCTCTCGAATTAACATCACATTTTACAAAGATTTTCACTTCTCATGCTGATCGGGAATGTTCGGAAAATCCTAGCTTAATACTGCAAGGTCCTAGCAAATTGTTTCTTCGTTGTAATCGATGTGCATTTAATTTTGAAGTATTTTAACTTCAGATATTTGCTCTCTTCAAAAATATTATATAGCTGTATAGTTTTTGTATTGAAAGATTTTTCAAGTAGGAAAACTCATGCAAATTTTTCAGTAATTTTCTTCCGGTTATTAAGTTTTCCTATCTCTCTGTTCTTATTTATCATCTCGTGCCTTTTGCCGTGATTATTGGCACTGTTGTTGCTGCTTTTGTTGTTAATATTTTGTATTTATATTGTGATTTAATTAATTTTGTTAGAGAATATGTCAGTAAATATCAAATTTCTTTTTTCTTTGCTAAGCAAAATCAGTTTTCTTTCTTCAATCGATTGCTAAAAATAAAATATCAAAATGCAATAATAAAATTTTATTTTATTCAGATTTACAACATTTTGTTGAATAGTAATTCGTAACCGTATGGTTTTTAGATAATATTCAAAATAACGGGGTTTCGAATTTGTTATTTTCAAATATGAGTTCAGTGATGAATGCAGTGGGAAAACAGATGCGTGGAAAGATTCAAAGTGTATTGTCTTGCAACTGATTCTTAGCATCGGCGTCTGTAGACATATTCTCTAACACAAATAAATGAAATTATAAACATAAATACAAAGCATTAACAACCAAAGCAGCAACAATAGTGCCAATGATCACAGCAATAACAAAAGACACGAGTTGATAGTGAGAATGAGTAGAGAGGAAAACTTGATAACCAGAAGAAAATTACTGAAAATTTTGCATGGGTTTTGCTACTTGAAAAATCTTTGAATACAAAAATTATACAGTTGTATGACATTTTTGAAGAGAATATCGCAGTCAAGCGGTGCATCATTTAGCAAATAATTATCAGCAAATAAAGACTAAGATCAGTTAATTACGCTTTACAGTTGCATATAATAAATTTGGGGTAGGAGAAGTTTACTGCTTTTATGAAACAGCTGCCAAGTTAGATTGCACTTACGTTAAACAGATAAGGATGTGTGTCATCGTATAGCTGTGTAACATCAAAGAAACAGATGCCGCTTGCAATGACATTATTTGAGGGAGCGAAATCCTTCCAACACATATCACACGTTTTCCGCAAATTTTTCATCCTATATTTCTTTTGTTAAACTCGATTAGTGATACTCTGTCAAAACAAAGCAATAATTTTTTTTTTAACCTTTATTAATATTCTACTGTTTTATCATTGTTACAAAATTAAAAAATTAGATTCGTTTAAAGTAATATTTCATTTTACAAAGTTTAAGATGAGAAAAAACGAATTTACGGATAATTTGGATGATTAGCTAATTAGTATTATATGGTGCCTCCCGTGTATAAAGTGGTACCTATAATGGAAGAATTTGGATGAAGTATAAGAATACAGTTGATCTGGTCTGATGAGGTCAGCAGAAGAAGAAGGATTAGAAATAATTCTATCAGCTGACATGTTACACAAAAATTGTTGCGTTTCTACATCTCCATACACTTTTGTTCGAAATATACCTTTCCCAATTTCTCTTCTTAATAATTTCAAATTACCAAATTTTAATTAAAATAACAATATGTAGCAATGATTACTAACAAAGTGATGAACAACACACAATATTCAAAAATCAATTATCGATCAATTCTAAAGTCTTTGATCATTTGTGAAATTTCTAAATTCATTTTTATATTTCATTAAAAATATATAAAATTGCAAAAGTGAGCAACGAAACTAATTCATCAATGATATTGCATTACATCAGTCAATCATCTTACAGAATGTCACATTGTTAAAACAGTTGTTGCTCAACCCGTAATAAGAAATGTCTTCTGCAACTGAAAATTCAAAAAATTTAATTTTAAATATAGAAATCATTGCTTGATGGTATTCAGCAGGAAAAAAGAAGATAATTGTTTAGTAATAATCAGATTAAACCCTAACAAAAATCAGTTTTGTTAGGTCAATCCATATTGTTTATAGTTTGTTAGCTCAATCTCTCTCTCTTCCCATTCTCGCTTAAAGTGTCAGCGGTCGTGTATGGATGTGTGAAGACTAGAAATGGCAGACGATCAAAGTTTTCAGCTTTAGTTTATGCTAACTTCTATCCCTTCCTGCTCTTTAATTGATTATTCCGGTGTAGAAGGAAAGCCAGATGTATCAAACAGTATGCAAAACAAAATAAAACAAAGTGAAATTGTATCAATTCTGAAATTAAAACTTACCCTAAAAATTGTACAATTTTTGAAAATTGATTACGCCAATATTTTAAGGATTTCTCGAATATTAAGATGAGATATAATGATGTATTAAAATTATTAAATTATCATTATAATTTATTGTCAGTATTGTTGGATAATAAAATTTCATATTTTCAATTTTTTTCTTCGAATAAATAATAAAATTTCTTCTTTTTAGATACTAAGCTAAGCTACTATTATTTTCAACTGCTGTTGAAAGTTAGCTTAATATCTATTAATTGTATCATTGATGAAATGATTGTTTAAAGGAGCGATCATAGCTTCTTCTTTTGTTATCATATCAAATTTTGGTTTATTAAAATCATTAAATTGTCGTCATAATTTATTGTCAATAGTGTTGGATAATAAATTTTCAATTTTTTTTAAATAAAATAAAATTCTTCCTTTTTGTTCAGAGTATTTTCAATTTTTCATAGGTTTATTTTTTTTAATCAGAAATTTTTCAAGTTTTGAATTAAAAGCATTGAAGAATTTCTACTTCCTGGTACCTTTTTATTTTGTGTAAAATTTTTAACTCGAATTGAAAGACAAATTTCTTGTTGCAACTACAGTTTGATAACTCACTGATATCTGATATAATGCTAATGATAAGAAAAAGATTTCGCAAGTGTTTGAATCGAATCCTTCCCCCAAATTCAAATTATAATTCATGTTGTAAATTTTCCATACGACAATGATAAAGTGAAATAGTATGTGAACTGATGATAGTAAGAAGATTTTCAATGATTTTCATTGAATCGAATCCCTCCCCCGAATTCTCCCAGTTATCTTAAAGCCCAACCCATTTATATTTCTCAATTGCATTAAAGACTGACTACTTGAGAATTGTCAGTGAGTCATCATCATCTCATTTCTGGCCCTCTTTTGATACCATGGCACCACCGCCAGATATCTTCTCCATCAATGGTACTAATGGTACTACTAATGGGATCACCAATGGTACCAATACCAATACCGTTCCAACCACTATCACTATCACTTTTCATAAACATCAAAAATGGTTTACTGATAAAAAGCAGTATATCATACGCGTAATACTAATTGTTGCTTTATTGCTCATTTTATTTGGCATATTTATGGTTTTTCGACATCACAATAGGAATACACCTATAAGAATATTCGAATTGGGAAAAACTCGAAATGTCAAAAATGAAAGTAATGAGTATTCCAGTATTTCTTCATTACAACAAATCGAATTTAGCGAACAAACATCAGATAAGGTGAGCTTTTGATTTACTATATGGTAGACAATTTCGTTTGCAACTACTTTGAATTAGCTTTTTTTTCCTTCATTTATTTTATTGCACATTATAAAATGAAAAAACATAAAGTAAACTTTTTTTCTGCAGAATTCTGGTTTTACATCTGTGCCAACAACTATTAATAACCAAAATTTTGATGCATCACAATGTGTGACACCGATCGAAGGCAAGAAATGCATTCAAATTCAGCGCAAAAATTTTCAAAAGTATGCAAATCTCGAAATTTGACATTTTTTTCTTTTCTGTCAACCAGCCTAATTTAAGCTCCTAATCATATGCTCATCTCTTTGATTTAATTTCACGCTTGCTTTATTCTTATAAATACATATAATTTAATCTAAATTTTCAATTTTTCATTTCTTTCTAAAAAATGATAATTGCAAGAAATTGAAGAATGGATATATCATATGATGGGAAAAATTTTTGAGGCAAATGTAATATTCATTTATTTGAAGATATTTTGTGATTAGTTGATTGTTATCAATCAATATTTACAATAAGAGAATAACTCATGCATTTTCTATTGGAAATAAATTGAATGAAAATGTTGAGAGAGTAAATGTGTGTGCTTTTATTGAAAAACTAATTAACGACATGGATAGGATTTCAAGAAGCATTATAATGAGATTATTAAATTGTGAAATAATTTATGCTTCACTCCTCCTGTCAATGACTAAATTAACAGCGAAGCAAATATCGCATCTTTTTCAGATTGTTCTCACTTAATTCATTTTTTTTAAAGTTTAAATTAGCACTGCAGAGATGATCGGAGCATATTCATAATTTCTGATATGTTAAAAATTTTTTATCAAAAAATCAACTTTTTTGATAAAAATAAATTTTTTGGGATTTTTTGTTAAATTTACGAAGTAAAACCTAAAAAGGTTAAAAGTTTCAGGCATAAAGTGTCATTTATGACTGCTAAATTTAGCAGACTTTTGAAAAAATATGACGGTCCATTATAGCTCAGTTCATTTTATGCTTGATTGTGATGACAATTTATTTCGAGAAATTTACCAAATGTTCTTTGCAGCGACGGGAAAATACCATCAGAGGATTTTGTAGCACATTTAGGGCATTTTATGGGATGGCATCCGAAGCATTACGAACTTAATATAACCATTAATCGAGACGCACGAACATCTTTCGCAGGGAATATTAACATTTATGTGAGTTCTATTCTTAAAATTCAATCATCAAACTCTCAAAATTTAAAACAAAAGCAATTGAAAACTTAAAAACTGAAATGAAACCATAATATTCATAGTAGAATTTTTAATTTGCCTTAGAAAGTAATCCATTTGATAGCTTAGAGTGAAAGGAAGAGGAATTTTGGAAGTAAATTCAATGTGAGTGGATAATTAATTGGAATAGCAGTACCGGAATGCCTAATGTAAATTTATAAACTCGATGAATGATTTTTATCGTATGATATATAATTCGTTCAAGTAATTCTACCAAGCATTTATTTTGGTGGAAATCTGTCGAACTTCGACAAATCAATGTTAGATAATTTTTTCATTAGAAATATTACAGATTAAAGCTGTTGAATCAACTTCAATAATATCATTACATGCTGGTCGATCCATCTCTGATATCACTTTATCACAAATAACAGCATACAATTGTCATACAGGTGACACAGAATTGAACATTACTTCATTTGAAAAAGGTTTCTTTTTAACAAAATCACATTTTTTAAATTCGCTTTGTCAAATTTTAAGAATTTAGGCGAAGTCTCGTGTGTGGCATCAATAGTTTATCACCAAAAAGATGAGGTGTTATCAGTGGAATTTTCCGAATCCATCAGTGTTGGACATATTGTTGTCCTTCAAATTAAAAATTTCTCGAGTCCACAAGCATCTGCTGGTCTCATCGTTAAAAGGCCACAAAAATGGCAACCTAAACGGTGAATTGATTTTTCTCTTTTGTAAATATAACACGCAAACCTTGTGAAATTTTATAAAATGAAGTTTGAAATTTAGAATACTTGAACTGAAATTTTAATATTCGAATTTTATTTCGAGCAATCGAATGTTTCGAATGTTTTTTAACCGCAGCAAATCTATAAAATTTTTTAGAATTTTAGAAAAAAAGTTAAATTTGAAGGCCATGGACAGTAACTACATTTTTCCAACTTCGTAACGCCCGTTCAATTTTTCCGTGTTTTGATTTGCCGATTATGAAAGCGACGATGAAAATGTGTATCAATCATCCAGTTGGGACTGAAGCGCGGTATTTGTTTTGATTCTGAACAAAAAATTAAATTTTGATTAGAATTTCGCTTGCTTGCGAGCATGCATGCATGCTTATATAAAGATTATGGATAGGTTTTTTTTTAAGATATTTATTTTTCAGATCAAATACAAAAATATTGTCTATTTCTAAGATCAACAATCGAATTGAATCGTGCTTTGAACCAACACCAGCAATGAGTAGTTATTTATATGCATTTACCATATTTGATCGAATGAGTTCAATGAAAGAGGCGGAAAAACCAAAAGAACATTTACCTGAAATTGAAGTACTCTATTCGGAGGAAGATAACTTAATCAAACCTGATTGGATCAGCACTGAAGCAATACATGTATGTTCAAATTTTATTTCACAACAAATATAAAAACGCAAAAATTTTAAATTTAAGTTCTTTTGAACTTCAAATGCTCCTTCTGCTAATTTATCTTACAATGATAGAAAGGTTCATTTGATGGAAAGACTTTTTCTGCCTTATTTTAGGCTCTAAAAGTAATGGCAAATATTAGCAATTTTCAATATCCGTTGAACAAGCTGAACTTAATGGCATCATACTTACCCGTTTATGGACTTGAAAATTTGGGTCTCATTATATTGGATGAACGGTTTGTGGCCTATCCGAAATATCGCTTGGCTCATACAATTCTTGCACATGAAATTGCCCAGCAATGGATCGGCAATATTGTTACGGTTAAGAATTGGAAAGAAATATGCATACAGGTTGATTTATCATTCGCTCTTCTTGCTAAAAATTCCAATTGAAATTTGAAATTCAAACTTGTTATGGTATCTATAAGAGATGAGAATATAAGACTTAAAACATTACAGAATATTTTAGGTTTTTACATGAGCTGAAGTGATAGAATTCAAATTTAAGACTTTTCTTTTAACAAAACGAAAACCAAAATAATTTAGTAATTGATATTGTAAGCTTTTTTTAGTGGACATTAAGCACTTATATCCATCGTCAAGAAATGTAATGCATCGATGAGTTATCTATTCATTTATTATTTGCTACTTATTCATTTATATTAAGTGTGTATTTGCTTCTTTTTCATTTAATAATTTTTTCATTTCCAAATTTTCAAATGAATTTTAATAAAAGTGGTTTACGTTTAATCCTCATACCAATCGATCAAAACTATCCCCTAATTATTTAATTTTTTATATTTAAGAAAAAAATTAGTTGCAAAAATTCTGCTTTATTTTGCTAAATGAAGCGTACAAAATGACTTCATACCATCACCTTTGCTATTCCTTCGTATCTGTTCTGATTGGTTTCTCAAAAAAAATGTGATTAAGTTTGCATTGGAAGTATAATGTTGTAATTGTATTAGCTTATCAGTTGAACAATGACAAATGATAGATTGGACAGATGGAGTACAATTAAAGGATGTTCCGTTATCAATCATAAAAGAGTTTGGCGGTGAAAGAGTAGACTGACTTTTGTTTGAATACATTATCAAAGTATTCATAAAAATAGTGAGGTTCAATGAGGGCGGAGGAGTTATTTGTTTGAATATTTGCTTTTAGATTGTGCCGAACTGATGGAAACAGCTGTTTTGAGTTGATAAATTACTACAGTGCAGAAGACATTATGTCAAAAGGTTAATGGGACCAATCAGAAGCATAGGGAATTAATTTATTGAACTTTTCGTAACAATTGTTGCTTCTTTAATAAAATGTTTGATTGATGCTTAAATTTTATTCTATATTCTTAAACAAATTAAGAAATTAAATTGACTTTAGCAGCACAACTGCTCGGAATTCGTAAAATTTTTTTAAAAAACGTTATAGAAACAATTGATGATGGACTATGACAAGTTATCATTATGATAGATTACCATTCATACTCCAGAATACTATGATTAATCTCATACACAAATTTATGAGATTTTTTTCAATATTAAAAACTTTGATGTGATATTCTTTCAGACATCTCTTTGAGTACTCAAACATAAAACCAAGTTAGAAATCACTTCATTACAAATAAGACATATCAATAATTTACTTAAAATTCCTGAAAAGAAAATTTTTAATTACATAGTGTTCAATTAATTATTAAATAAAATTTCTTTATTTTTTTCTCGATGACTTCATATGGGTCAGATGGAGATGGAGCTAATGGGGAGTTGAGACATCGATAGCATAAATGAATTATATTTCACCACATTTTACCTAACAATTTTTGCTCAAATTTTTATTTTAAAATTTGATACGAAAGAGCAGAACAAATTTTTGAAAGTTTTAAATAAAGTGAAGTTGTTGAAGTCAAAAAGGAAAATTTTGTTTGCTTATTGTCTGTTTCGTTAAATATTGAAGCAAGTTATTCCAAATAATTTCTGGAAAAAATTTCATTTCTCTAAAAAATTAAAATTTTGAAACTAGCATGATTAATTCGAACCTAAAAGTTTTTTAATTCAAAGAAGTATCATTTAGGAGAAGAAAAAAAATCTCCAGAAAGTTTTAGGAAAAAATGCTTATATCTCAGATATCATATTACCCATAACTGTCGTGATGACCTGCAACTGTCTAACACCTGTGTTTAACATTTCATTCTGATCCTTTCCACTTCTTCACTTTATCCCATTTCGGAAAACAGATGCGCAGTAGGGGTTAGGATAGCAGCCGCAGATGACTGAAATAAATTTGCAAAGAAGAAATAGCTTATTTCGCTTTTAATAAACAAATGGACGAGCAAGCAAATGATGAAATAAAATTCAAGTTTAAATTTAAAAATAAAATAAAATTGCTATGAGTGAGAATAAATGAAACTACCGCAAGTACGATAGAGCAAATACACAACGTAAATTTTTTTCTTCCTTCAAAATTTTAATTTAAATTTTTAAATTCAAAAAAAAGAATTTTATTCATTTCCGAATTCTCAGTCCTATAGACAATTGAAAATCTGTTTACCAAATATATATATATGATAAATTGAGTGGAATTCCCAAAACAAATCAAATTAAGCCTAAAATTGTATTTCAGGAAGGATTGAGTACCTTTTTGGAATGGATAATCACAAAATTATTGGATAATTCGACTGAGATCGATGAACTGATTAATGAAAAACGTCGTGAAGGTATTATGAAAGACAGCACAGCCTCGACAACTATCATTTCCGAATTTCGTTCACCCGAGGATGTATGCATAAATTTATTTATTGTTTCGCTGTAATTGTTGCACTTATTTACTTGACGAACACTGCTTGCTATTTGTCCAACATTTATTCTCTCATTTACTGACACACTTTTTTTTACCAAATTTCTCTAATTTATTTGCTCATTTTTCCCCCTTAACTCTGAGAAAATTTGGATGAGTTTTGCAGATTTCACGATGCTTTGATAAGCCAGCAACATTCTTTGTTATGCTTGAACTTGGATTTGGAGAAGGAACAGTGACAAAGGTGATCAGGTAAGTGATGAACCGAAAATTATATCACAGAGAGTGAAGAAAGAAAGAAAAGGAAGCATTGAAGAGAATATTCATTGTTGAAAGATAGTGAGATAATGAAATAAATTTAAAAAAGAAACCGTGTAGCTTAACTGTATAAAAGTGATCACCCTTTTAAATTCTCAAAATTCAAAAACTTTCAATATTCTCTAACATTCACTCATTAAAAGGGAAAGAAAAATCTTATTTCTGGAATATTTATTCTTAATATCATAGGGAAAATTTCGAATTACTTTTAAAATTGCTAGTTATTTTTAGAGAGTTAATTACAGGTTACTTATGCAACGGTACTCTTATGCCAATGCTGGAATGACGGAATGGAAACAAGTGATAAAAGAAGCTGCTAACGACTATCTTGCTGGTTTGTCTTCACTTCATTGTTGTTCATTTATATACCTGTTCTTAATTTATTAATTTGAAATTGGAATTCAGGTGAATTCTTTGAAAAATATTTCACGCAGTCTGGTTTACCGCTAATTCGTGTCTTTTCTACTACAGAAGGATTAAATTTGACGCAAAGTATGACAGCCGCTAAACGAGTGATAAATGTATGTTTTTGCTAGTTACAGAGGAATTCTCAATATTATCATTTGATCGAAAAAATTGTATCAGAAATAGTAGTGATGTTCGTGTTGCTAAAAAATTCAATCTCTTATTTTAAGAGTTCTGAAGTGACGTTAGTATTAATCTATTAAAATATTTAACATTTCATAATTTTACTAAATGTAACTCAAGAAAATGAGCATATTCAGAATTTCTAGCGGTGAAATATCCAACTCTTTTGTCAGATGCAGGTATTGTTTTCTTTTCTGACCATGACAACATTTAAGGTTTGATTGGAATCCTTAATGTGGATTTCAAACTTTGGTAATTAAACCATAGTAAAGACACAATATCAAAACAAGAAACAAGCGACACAAAGAATAATCCAAACTCACAACCCCAAAGGAAGAAGAAGTAGAAAGAATGAAGAATTGATGTGTTATATAGGCAAAGTATACGTGCGTATCATAACGCGGGAAAATATTGGAGGATATAAGAGCAAAGGAGATCATGTGATACAATAATTGGAGGCAAGGATGGGAAGGGATATAGAGTGCAAGATGAATCATTTAACTGTGCTATTGGTTTAAACAAGAACACGTATTAACATGCATTAAAACACAGTAATATTCCTTATTACAATTATATCTATGAATA